CAGCTGTCACATTTGGCTAGTGGTATTTAAAGATCTTGACCGCTTCGCCGCTTTCTTTGGTTCATATTGACAAGCCTTTCTGAAATTCTCCTACACTCCGTTGCGTTGACAGCGTCCGCCCCCCCTTTTTGCCGAAATTACGCACGCATAATCCCTGTATATACATGAAAATTTGCCCAACGCCACGTAGATATTCGTAGTACGGCAATTGACCTATTCTGATGGCTTCAATTGATCTATTTCTATTGAATCTCATTATCTGAGGGCATCGTGATGCCTCCTAAACGCCGCCGCGCGGCTCGGCAGGCGGATGATGACCCTTCTGGGCATCGTCCGTCACCCATCGCCAACGGTACGCGGAAACAACGACGTATACAACAACTGGCACAGGACGCCGCCAGAGATCCTCCTCAACGCTCTGCCTCGCCGTCGATCAGGATCGTTACGCCCGCCGAGAGGGCTCGCCGGGCTGCCGCCGCCGAAGAGGCCGCCGAGGAGGCCGCCGAGGAGGTTATCGTCGCCGAGGCTGGACCCGAGACTAATGATTTGGTGGCGGCTGAGTCTACATCGCGAAGAAAGCGTGTACTTATAGCCCCTCCGTCATCACGAAGAGCTCCAAAAGCGTCCTCTCGCCAAAAAGCAACGACAACGCAGAGGAAGCGAAAGAAGGATCCGCCGCATACGATCCGGCTCCGAAGTACTCTGCCTTCGTCGATGCCACCGTTTCGACCAGACTCGACCCCAGTTAACCCAACCCCTCGTCAAACCACTCGATTTGCGGACGATACGCCTACGGCCCCTCGCCATAGCGCTGATGATACGTTTATGTCGTTCCACGATGTATTTGAAGAGGAGGACGATATGGGTAACGAGGAACCAACTCTGCTACAAATCCAGGTTACCCGTGGCCCAGCGCTCAAGGGTAACGGTTTACCTGTTCTCGATCTAACCATCGAGAGCATCGCGTATAACAGATTCAGTATTGCTCCTGTATTAGATGCGAATAGTAGAGACTGGGAGGCAGACAGCGGCGCCCAACTTGAGGCAGAAGTGGCTCACTCGTATATTGTGAAGAAGGCCAATATCGCTGTTGTCGTTGCTTGGAGGAAGCCCACCAACGCATCTAAACCAACACCAATCTTCACTCGGGTCTATCCGTCTACTGGAGGGGTCACTTGGCCAAGTATTCCATGGGTTGATATTGTCCCCTCTCTTGAACAAGCTGAAGAGAGGGGTGAAGTCCACCTCACCGTCAAGTGGCAATACAGCGCCGTACCAATCTCTGGTGGTATAGTGACTGGCGTACGAACGCCTCGAAAAGGTGGCCGAGCAGGCGTTTCAGCCGGCATGCAAGAGGCGATCGATCGTGAGGCTAACGATCCTGCAAACGTCGAGCGTCGGAAGGAGGGTATGCACAGACAACTTCTCCGTACGCACATCTGCCCAGAGTACCAGAGATGTAAGAATAGTTCGGGCGACGAGAAGTTCAACTGGTGCTATATACTAGGCCAGAAGCACTACAAGATCAAATCTCACCATATAGAGAAGTGGGCGAAGGCTATTATGACTGGACAGGCTGGCGTTGACAATATGGAACCACCTAAAGAACTGCTTGGTGAGATTCTTCACGACCAGTTTATAGAGGATCAGAAACGCCAGGGCAAGAGAAGTAAGAATATCGTGGAGGTTGATGATAACCAGGAGACGACAGTGATGACGGAAGAGAAGGCTGAAAATGCCGCACTTCCATCATCAGGGTCAAGATCTGGCCTAACCAACGCCAACAGCAACGCCATCGTCAATATATACGGCAACGCGGGGGCGCCAGATCGTCATCTTCAATATCCTAACCCATACGTACAGCTGCCGCCGCCGGCGCCGCCGCCGCCGGCATATTGGCCATATGCGAACATCTCACAGTATTCGTTGCCAACTCTTCCGCCATTGAACCTTCCAAGCACTCGTCAACCAAGTATCGCACTCCCGATTCGTTCGTCCTCGCCAGTGGTACCGGATTCGCCTCGAAAAGCTCTAGATCAAGTGGCCAGCTTCATCAAGTGGTTTATATCCGTCCGCGGCAAGCGATATAACGTCGACGAAGGGTTCAGAAAGAAGCTACAGAAACTGCGATCAGTAGACAGTAGCTTGCGGGCAATTCGCAAGTTACCAGATATTTGGTTTACTGAACAGGGTTTTACTCAAGATCTTACCGAAGATGTCAGGAACTCGATCAAATCCTTCATAGACAACAGCGCCTACTACGGAGGGCAGTCTGACGCCCTCTCCGACGTGGTATCTCACTCTGAACTTCATTCAAACCATCGAGAGTCAGAAGGAGATGTTTATACAAGAATATACGCTGGATTGCCAGGAGGGACGGCGGCGGCGCCAGTTGAAAACTCTGCGGCGCTAGTTTCAGGCGAGTTGGGGTCATCCCGACATATCGACGCCCTAGTGCCACGTCAATCCATCGAGCAAGAGATCCGTGGTACGCCAGTTGAAGTTGGTCGACGTGGTGAGTGTATATAGAGCTGTTTACTGTCGAATATGGCTAACTTTGTAGGCGTTTCGGAACTCTTTGGTTTCGTTTCGTCACCACTGCTGTCAGCGTCGCAGATGCTGCCCACGCAGTTACAGATCGAACAAGACGAAATCGAGCAAGGCGATGAGGACAATCAGATTGAAATCTCGAGTGATACGTCGTCAACAGAGACGTATTACTCGGAGGAGGATAACGAAGAAGAGTGATACAGCAAGAGTGGTGTGAAGTTTGACTGTATGCGCGATTTTTTTGCATGACGTGTTCAACCACGGAAAAGTCTACCCATAGCCGTAGATTCAACACTGCCGCTCTATACGTATAAAAGCAATAGAATTACTGTTATTTTGGATCTGCAAACAATACACTTCGGTCCATCCCGATACTGGTTAGGGGCAGTTGAAGTCTCTGACTATGGTTGAAGTCTCTGATCGTGATGACGTGTCATCATCACAAATCATCGTCACAAGCATCAACAACGCGTTTCAGCCGTTATACAGGCAAAATTGATATGTATACGTAGCTACCGACGAAAACAATGGACGACGGTATATTTTTTGTGTTCTGGTGCGCTTGTGGCTAACCTTTTGGCAATCTTGTTGGCTACAATCATGGATTTGATGATTGACCATCATATGACGACACGATTAAGATCTATTGCGCGCGAACGCACGATGAAAATTTGGATTGCTTGCTGATGTTCAATATTGGCAGCAAATCCTCCCTTTTATAGTTCGATATCGTCAAATATATGCTCTGTCCCATCAAAGTTGACGAACGAATGGCGGAAATGGCCCTCGATCTGGGGTAGACGATACCCAATCTCCATAGCGCAGTCACGTAGATATTCCATGAAATCCCGAGTGTCATTCTCATCGTTGTTCCACTTCGAATACGTCTTCCTGATGTATCGCTTTAGATCGCCGAAGTACTCTTCGATGGGGTTGAAGTCTGGTGAATACGGAGGCAGAAACTCGAGATGGACACCTGATACCCGGCATAAACCCTCGATTTCAGGTATACGATGGCAGGAGAGGTTATCCATAACGATGACAGAGTTTGGCTCTGGAAAACGCCCACATTTCGGGATAAGGCACTCCTGTAGCCAACGAAAGAACCCATCGCCGTCAGTCGTACCATAATACGTAGTCAAGTGTAGGATACCGCTCAACGTGAGGGCTGGCAGGATCTGTACGCGAGAGTTCTGAAACCGATCAATCTCTGCAGTTCGAAACGCAGCAAGCCCTTTCGGCGCCCATCCAGTCCTCCGTATCCCAGTATCCTTATTGACGCCGGATTCGTCGACGAATACCAGCTGGTCGGGGCGATATCGTCGTATACGGTACAAGTACTCGTATCGTAGTTCGTCACTTCGCTGAGCAGCAATAATCTTGGACTTCTTGTTCGTCCAGCCAGCTGAGTTTAACTGTCGACTGATTGCAGAACGACTGATCTGGATCTCGAAGGCTTCAAATAGGAAATCTTGCATCTCTTCAAGAGATAGATCGCTGCGGTACTGCAGTAGTTCAAGAAGCTCTGTACGATGCCATATTTCCATCTTTTGTCGACTCTGGCGGCACCTCTTATATCTCTGCACTTCGCCAGTGATATTACGTCGTGATCTATGTCGTCGAATCGTTCGTTCGGTACAGCCAACGATACTTGCCAGCTCGTGGGTCTTTTGGTCTTCGAATGGCAGTATCATCGCGATCGTCGATAGCTGTAGATTCGATATTCTGGGCGCCATTGTATCGTCGTCGTCGCCCGGCGTCTTTCTCGATGTATCTGATATAATAAACCACGGACATGTACTGACCAGCGGCAAACTGTAAGTAACAGGGCACAATCTATACAGCAGTAGACTCTTGCTCAATATCGTGAACAAGCTGAGCTATCAGGAGAGTCATTAATCCTGTTGACTGCCAAAGCATTTGCTCTGAAGAACCGTATCAAGCCCCTTGGTATGCTTATATATTACTCAGAGCCATACAAACCGTATGCTGAGTAGATATATAAAGTCATACAGCAGGTCTCTTCTTCTGTTCCTCAGCAAATGTCATCTTGATCTCTCATGACGAAAATAGACCTTTTGTTGGTCGAATGGTATGGGGATGAGGTGACTAGCTGGGTTGGCAATGCCTCGATGGGTAGATTGACTGCTACGGAAGCATGAAATACACACCTTATGTCTCTATCGTGTAGTTATACGTTTGAATACTACTGGGACTATAGTGATTGACGGCAATTGAGGTGTTGGTGATGACTTTGACGCGTTTTGCGTGCGATGCAGAGAAATGCGCGTCACAGCGTAAAATTGGCTTTTTTTCATGTTTTTGCATAAGCGGGGAAAAAAAAGGGGGGCGGACGCTGTCAACGCAACGGAGTGTACCGAACCTGCAGACTCCTTTCGCTAATCTTTCTACACCACATCACATCACCCATCACCGACAACTCATACATCATGTCTGCTGCCAAGCCTACCTTCGTTCTCGCGCCTGGTGCGTGGCACAAGGAGATCTGCTACTCTCCCGTCGAGCAGATCCTCAACTCCAAGGGCTACGAGACCGTCGCCGTCGAGTACCCCTCCGTCGGCGCTGAGCCCCCCACCAAGGGCCTGAACGATGACGCTGCCGCTGTGAGATCCGTCCTCCAGAGACTCGCCGACGAGGAGAAGGAGATCGTCCTGGTCGTCCACTCCTACGGCGGTCTCGTCGGTGCCAACGCCGTCGAGGGTCTCGGCTACAAGCAGCGCGCTAAGGAGGGTAAGAAGGGCGGTGTCATCACCTTCGTTTACCTCAGCGCCTTCGTCGTCCCCGTTGGCAAGTCTATCAAGGTTATGCTTGGTGGCCAGTTCCTTCCTTGGATGAAGTTCGACGTAAGTTGAGATCAAAATGAGACGAACCAAGACTCATGACTAATGCTTGCAGGGTAACTACGTCCACGCCCTCACTCCCGAGGAGATCTTCTACCACGACGTCGAGCCCGAGCTCCAGGCGAAGGCCATCTCCCAGCTGAAGCACCAGTCGGCGCCCGTCTTCGACGATGTCGTCACCTACGAGCCCTGGCACGAGATTGACTCCATGTTCTTCTTCTGCACGGAGGACAAGGCCATTCCCCTCGCCATCCAGGAGGGCATGGCCCAGCAGCTCGGCCCCAACGGCTTCACCTACTCCGTCAAGGCCTCCCACTCTCCCTTCCTCTCCGTCCCCAAGGAGGTTGTTGAGGGTCTGGAGCACGCTGCTAAGGTTGGCCAGGAGAGAGTCAGAGCATAGATGTGGAGGTTTAAGCAAAAGCGTTTCAATAGTTTAAAATGAATGAAGTCACGATTGATGACCAAACCTGCTGTCTTTGGAATTGGTGACCTGGGTAAGGCGGGTAGGTGTGAGACCGACTTCTGATGGTGACACGTGCGAGTGGGGTTTCGTGGTATATTTGCAAACCACACCAGTCCAAAAATGAATCAGGTCGTTCAATCTAGCTCATGTGATATGAATACTAATCACTGAAGCTTTTCCTCAAAGGCACTACTTTAGTGTCGCTTCGGGCCGTTACGAGAATGTCTCCACCACCTCTTCACATCTTCACGTGAGCCGCGTCCTGGTGTGCGATCCCACGTTGCTAATGTCCGAGCGTGCCGATGCAGGTCATCGTAATGGGACGCTGCCGCGTGGGATATATCGGGGTCGTGGAGACTGGCCGGGAGTCTGAGTCACAAATCTCATCCCCTGCAACTCGGCAGCGCCCCTGGCAGGCAGGCCGGTCGCCATGTGTGAGCGTAGGATGCCCTACTTTGGGTCCTGCCGTTGTTACGCGTCATGTTTGATGTTCTTCGATGGCCATGTTCTAGAAAATGTCGGTCAGACGAGCAGCGGCGGTGAGTGCCCTTCTTACAAGGAGAAGGGAGTGTAATATCCTGGGTCTTGTCTCATGAAGCGAGCTGCAGTACCCTAGTCCGGTTTCCACAGCGCGCTCGTTCTCGGAAACTTGAATTCAGAGTCAAGAAAGATACGTTGCAGGCTATGACAGAATCTTATCTGGTGAGATAATGCTATCTGCGCATCGTTAGAATGGAATCTCCGATCCATTCATCGTGAAATCCTTTCACAAACCTCATATTCCTACATGCACCAACGCTCACAATACAGATTTCGGCGCGTCCCAATACTTGGGCACCGCAAAAGTGACATCCGAGTTCTCCATCTTGATGCCAACCTGCCACCTTCCCAGACCAGGCCAGAAATTCTCATGCTCGCCCACAATGTTTCCCTTCTCATCGGCCTGTCTAATGTCGAACCAGCCAAGGCTTGCTTTCTTCGAGTACTGCCCCGGCGCAACGCTACACCATCGATTTGTGCCGGGCAGTTCACCTTGGCTGCCGCTGCCTTCAGGTAGCGGAGGCTGAACAAGTGTGGCGTCCAGACCGACGTAAGAGAGAAGATTAAGCGACAGCGGGAATGATGGCACGTAAGGAACGGGCTTGAATGTGGCTTGGAAGAGTGGCGTAGTGCTGGCTGATGCTTCTTTGAGATCGCCTGTGGTGTCGTGCGGGAAGACCTTGACGTGGGTGCTGCCGTCCACATGATATTTCCAATTGAAAGCAGCAAGGTGCTTGGGAATGTTCCAGTCTGGAGTCTATTGTCAGTAACTGCTCACATGAGCTCTCAAATGAGATGAGAGATGAGACCGCGACTCACTTTTGCGACCATTCCAGCAAGTCTGCTTTTGCGACACGTAAATCCTCGTGATCCTAGCATTCTTCTTCTTCAATCGCTTGCCATTCTCTTCCACAGTGTACTCATGAAAGCCGGGGCTTAAAATCAGCTCGTCATAAGGTCCTACCGGGCTCTCGGTGTATCGTATGATCTGAACCATGCTGATGCCACCCAACGGTCGACTTCCTTCCGGATTGATGTAGGATGAGTTCGCCTCGAGAGGAGAGTATGTGATGGTTGGCGGGTGCTCTGCCTGCTTCCTGGGCGTCCAGAAGCTGAAGAGGTAGATGTCGCCCTTGAGCTTCCACGGGGGAGGGACGTGGGTGAAGTCGTCAGACGTCATGGTGAATCGAGCGATGTGTGAATAATTGGGCGCGTCTACCCGTCGAAGGCAAAAAGAAATTTGTATTAATTGGTGCAAATGAAAATTTCAGGCAGAAGTAGCGCACGCGGTCTATGAAAACAACGGTCTTCGTCGGATGTCAAGCCGATGATTGCTCGAATCCGGGGTATGCTGGAGGATCAACAACACCGGGGACGCGAAGCGGGGAAGGGACGAGCTGTCAGCACCTTATATTTCCTCCTCGGGCGTAGCGCTGGCCTGTGCAGCACCGGCGTGACACTGCTGTTTGCGGGGATAGGCGCCCGGCCTCTTCACTGGGCCTCGGTTTCAGGGGTCCTCCTACGAACTAATTGCCACATTGGGAACTGTCACCTTCCAGCAATCCGCACAAGCTTTTCATCGACGAGCTACAGTATTGCGAAGCTGCTGTGATGTAGTCAATTGACCGGTCATACTAGGTCTACCACACTCGGCTCGGGCAAGATACTCCAAAAGTCCTTGATCCCCTGTAGTTCCAGCAAGGGCCTGCTTCTGTAGTTGCCAACAAAACGCTCCTGTTCGATCCAAACGTGGCCCATGCGCTCGTACACATCTGCACCTCGTTTCCTTCGCTTCTGCAGGTGGAGTGCCATGCAGACCGCGGTTCTTTTGCCACAAAGCACAGCAACATAACCCGTTCGCCTTCGAGTTCTAGGCATGATGAAGTCTGGAGTGTATCCCCCGGCGACTATGCCTTTTGCTTCTGTGACCACCACCTGAGGCTTGCCCTCTGCGTCTGATGCATACACCACCTTGCACTTGAGAATGGGGGCCTTAATCGTGATTGAAGACATTGAAAATTCCGATGCCTTGCCCAAATTATCAGGCCCATCATAGACAACACTGATACCCTCGATGGTGGATAACGGCACATAACCCCTGTCGACATCGCTGTCCCAACTGACTTGGGTGTACAACGATGCCCACGACCAGCTCGGATATCGCGATTTCCTTCGAGAGTGCAGGGAAGAAATAAGACCTCTTGTCCAGCACAAGTCCAAAATCAGTGAGTTTTCCCAAAGTCCAATGAGATATTTACCCCTTTGGTGATGATTTTGTATCCGCTTGACGATACCAGCAAGGGCGGCCATTCGATCTTCATCAGTTTTCGTGAGTCGGAGATTGGAGTACTCAGATATCATACGATACCAAAGTAGATCTGGTCTTTCGGAAGGAATGTGATATGGCATATCACTGTAGTCGATATGTCCTTGGATGGGGGAGACATGACCTTCATTACTTTCTGACTCCTCTTGTCTCAGTGTCCTCGATCTGCAGTCCCAGATCACCTCTTGGGCGCAGAAGTGAAGTACCCGATGGGACAGTCGCATTTCCTGGTAGATCCAGCCACGGTTGAACAAAGGCAGTTCTTTCTGTCTGCCAAAATCTTCCCAGTGAGTAGGCAATCCGGGGAGTTTGAATCGTGAAAAGGCGTTCTTGTAGCCAGGAATAGGCCTCGCGATGTATTCATTAGGCGTCTCCGAGTAGCAGCCTCCCGACGACCCCGTGGACTTTGTGGCTGCGATGGTGATGTACGCGTTCTCGTATATATCAGCCATTCTCGATGCCTCGCTCACCCAATCTTCTGGACTGTCTTGGATAATGCAAAGTGAGTCGATCCAAATGAATTTGATATCCAATAAGCGGCAAATTTCGACTGCATCTTGGAAAGTCGCTGTCAGTGCATTCAAAGGCACCTTGTCCTTGCGATCTTTGATGTTCTCTAGGCGTGTCTGGCAAATCTCTTCAGGGTTACCCCAACAATGACTAAGACAGGCGTAGCGCATATTGGTGACGTTCTCTCGAAGGACTACTATGTCCTTGAAGATTTCGAGGATTCTAGTCGGCCCTCTGAAGTCTCTGCCAAGTTCTAACGGAGACTTACACTCTGTGTGCCATCTTTTGCAACTTGAAAGCCAGCCGTCTATGGCTTTTCCGGTTGCGCTTGAATTCGTGATTTTTGGAAGGTTTTGGCCGATCCTTTCGATGGTGAATGGAGGCTCCATACCGTCTGTAGACCGTCAGAACTTTATTCCTTTCAATTCCTCTTTACTATACTTGGTAGTATGCGCCGTATCCTACTTCAGATGAAGTGCAGTTTGACGGACTGAAACGAGTTCTGTAATGATGCAAGTACTCACCGGTCTCAGTGTCCATGTCGAAGAGATCTAGAATGACTACATCATCATCCGTGTAAATGTTACACTCGCTGCCAAATTCGAAAGCCAAAATGTTGGTGGACTCAAGGATGTTTAAACAGTCAACCCACACCTCAATCCAAGCTGAGACGAATATGCATCGCGGGCATCCATTCTCAGCGCTCTGTCGCAGTTCCTTGTACGTGCACTTGACAGTGATACTTTCTGTAGCCAGAGGACCTGTTTGCTCGCATGAAGTGCAACGCATGTTTAGATTGCTGTCGGTTCGGGATTTGTTGCTGAAATACACAAACCATCCCCACACGCGGCGCAGCTTCATGATATACGCGCCCAAGGACCCAGTTAATTGTGTCGGTCACATGACTCCTTGCTGCCTAAACCTGCATTTTCTGTTGGCACCAATGAAAGTTATGAAGAGAAAAGTTGGATATGATTGGGCTACTCTTCGTTGCTATGCAGTGTTTTGCGCAGCATACCGTCCTTAGCCATTGCGCCCTTGATATTTGCTTCCCCTGGGTAGAAACGAGCGCGTTCATCCTCTTCAAGTGAGCTGGCCATGTTGGCGATGGGCGTCATTGTCCGCTGGTAGATGTCAGCCGCGAGGAAAGAGTTGTTGAAGAGGCCGAAGAGCAAAGACGGGAGTACGGTGAACACTATCCCACGGAGGAAGACGCGTATGGTGCCCTCCGGATCCGCACTCCCCGTTTGAGAATCATGTCGACCATTTTCGGGATGCACTATCTTATTGTCTGGTGCGAACGATGAGGAACTGTGTCTGAACCCCTTTGCCCACGCGACTGTAGCGGCAATCAACGCAGAGGCACCAAGTATCGTCACGACGACAAGATAGGCGTCCGAAAGAAAAGTATTCCAAACCCTGTCGACATGTGGTCGTGAATCGCTTGGTGTAGTACCCTGGACGGACCTCGAGTTGACATTGGCTGGTAGTTTTTGATACGTGATATATGGAGCCCTAGTGTCGAAATTTCGAATACCACGTTCGGGGTCTAAGTTGCTGG